AGACAGGCCCAAGCAGGGGCTCGGAGGACACATGCTCCCCAAGAGACATCCAAGTATGACTCTGGCTCAGCCCCATGGCCCCTCCTTCTGGGAGCACATGGTAAGAAGAGGCCTGCTTATACTCCAGGGGCTCAAGGGGATACCATGGTGAGAACCAGAGAACTACAGATCCCAGAATGCCATGGGCTAGGTTGTTTTGGTCTCCCCAGGCCAGGTGAGGAGGGGATGCTGGATGTTTTGGGCCCTACCCAGGCAGCTCTAAGGAAACCCACAGTGTGCATAATCTCAGCAGTGCCTTTATATGATACCCACAATCCACATGCCATATAAATTCCACAAATCCCACACCAAGGTACAACCTTGTGAAGTCTACACAACTAACTGTGACTCAGGAACCCTTAACCCAACTCTAAAGCGCAGAATTCCAGTATGTGCAGTCTTAGTGTCACAGAATCCAGGTGGATATGTAACCCCAGGGATGCATGGCCCCAGTGATCACAACCCCAGTGATCTACAAACCCCCTTAATTCAGACTCCCAGAGATAGACAAAACAGTGACATGCAATTTTTATGCCACACAAGTCTATCCATCCCATCATGCATAAACTCACTAGCTGAGTTCATGTTGGTCCAGTCCTACCTCAGGATTTTTTTCTTTCTGCACACTGCCCCTAGTCATCTTAAGATCCCATTAAACTAAGCAGTTCAGTAAAGGTTTTGCCTTTTCCCCGCCTGCTGCAAGCTTCCTACTTTTATCCCTATCCCCCTCCTTCTATCTCCCACATCCACCTGCTTGAGGTCCCCACCTCTGCTCTCATCGAGAAGCCTTGCCCCCTCCTCCACCATTGTGAGGAACCATGATACCGCTTGTCCTTTCCCCTTTGAAGACTCCTATGTCCCCACCTTCTCTTTAAGGGACCCTATCCCAAGCTCCACTTCTGTTGGGAGTGTTGTCCTTTAAACTCTTTTCTTTGAGGGATCTTGCCCCTTCCATCTCTGCGAGGGACCCTTTTCCTCCCCACCTCTGTAAGGCTGTTTCACTTCTTCGCTTGTTTTTTCAGGGATCCAGCCCCTTCCTCCCTTCCTCATACCTGGAGACAGTGACCCAGTCACCAGCTGGTAGAGGGATCGTGCTGCCTGCCCCAGCGGGCTCCGGCACCTGCGGGGGCATCTGTTCATGGTCCTGCCGAGAGCACAGTGGCCAAGCTCCGCCCCCAAGGCTCGGGGCGTTCTGATCTCCGCCCCCAAGGAGTGGGCCCCTTGTGGGCGGCGCGCGGGAGGGCCAAACCCACAAGGACCAGAGTTTCAGGCAGTAGAGTCGCGTTCCGCTTCCTGTCCTCTCCAGGTCATAAGAGGGGAACTCACCCTGGCCCCCATCGTCTGAAGCACCCGCCCCCAAAGTGCTCAGACTGGGGAGGGGCGGGAAAGGGGCAGCACGGACTCTCCCTCAGAGCCTTCTCTGAGAACATTTTCTGAATTTCCGGTGGGGAAGGGAGCACCCATGGTTTTTGAAAAAGGATCCAGAGAGCGAAAACATTATCTTTTATTGCTGCGTCGCCCCCTTCTCTTCCCATTTTTGACAGAGAAGGGGAAGGGTTAGAGGACTTAGTTGTCATGGCAACTTCCCACACTTCCATACTTCCTGGACCAATGGGCACGAGAGTAGGAGGGAAGAGGAGGAAATGACCAGTGTATTGGGGTGGCAGAGGGATGGCAGGGACATGCCCTTACTATCTCTGGCTTCTGGCTCTGAATGTCTGGCACAGAACTGTTCTGTGTCGCTATGTCCTGGTTCAGCGGGTTCACACACTCCCATTATATGCCGATTGTCAGCCAAATGCATCGAGGAAAAGCCCCCTTATCCGAAGTCCTGGCCCTGATCCCTTTCATAGACTCACCCCTATCTGGTTATAACCAAAGTAAACCCTTCCAGGGCCCACTAACACCTTCTAACAGAGCTTACGGGGATCCCACTCCTCCGACTGGGATTCCATATTTTTTAGCTGAAAATCCTACATTTAGGAGGTGAGAGTCACCTCTGAACTTCGTGGAACCAAATCTGGCCACATCCCCATCTGGAATCAGCTCTGCAGGCATGGTTTCACTAAGACCACACGGGGGCGCCCCAACCTCGGAACAATATTTATGGCCAGACAGAAGCGACTCCGATCTCAGACCAGGACCGAGTTCAGGCCTTGGCCAGCCAGGTCCCAACTCTCCCATCTTCTTCTTTCCTTGATTCCAGCTTGGACAGAACGACTGCTGATTACTGCCTTTTCTCACCTCGTCGCACTGCCAAACGGTCCTGACGGGCTGGTAAGACTGGAGGGGCTGAATGCGGGGCGGGGCTCAGACTGGTTTCTCAAGTCTCTCAGATTTGTTTTGAGCCTGGTGTGCTAGTAAGGAAAGCGGCTGGGGCAACCCAGAATGCCCTGAGGTATGATTTTAGCGCCCCCTCCTCCGTGTCAGCCTGATAGGCTTGGATGACTGAAATCGAAGATTACCCCCAGGTTCGATCCAAGGAATCCCGCCTGCACAAGTAATATTGGAAACCTGAATAGCAGTGCTGCACTTCCGCCTTTCACGTGCTTCAGCACCGCGGACAACGACTTCCCCTCGGGCTTCAGTTCAAGCGTCTCCAGACACCCAAGGCCTTAATACTGGCTTCCCAACCCCATTTATCTCCTGTTAAAGATAAGTCCTCCTTAGAAAGGAGAGCTCCTGGTAGTGTTTATTCCCAGTTTCCAAGTCGTGTGGATGCTGACGTGGAACACAATTCTTGATGCTTGTCAACTTTTGAACTTTCTATAGGGAGGTAGAAAGTAGTATTTCCCATTTTACAGATGAGAGAAGTGAGGCCCAGAGAGCAAAAGTCAAACAGAAATGGCATTCACACTTCCATTCCTTCATCTTCCAGTACAAGGGCTTCCCCACTTCTACCTAATCTCTGATTCAAACAGCCAAGTGGGGAGGGGATGATTCCACTGAAGGGGAAAGTGAAAGTGAAAGTCACTCAGTCGTGTCCGACTCTTTGCGACCCCATGGACTCTAAAGTCCATGGAACTCTCCAGGCCAGAATACTGGAGTGGGTAGCCTTTCCCTTCTCCAGCGGATCATCCCAATCCAGGGATTGAACCCAGGTCTCCCTCATCACAGGCGGATTCTTTACCAGCTGAGCCACAAGGGAAGCCTAAGAATGCTGGAATGGGTAGCCTATCCCTGCTCCAGCGGATCTTCTCAACCCAGGAATCGAACCCGGGTCTCTTGCATTGCAGTCAGATTCTTTACCAACTGAGCTACCAGGGAAGCCCAAGTGAAGCGGAAGAATCAATTAAAGCAAGAAGCAAATACTGACTGATGTGGTGCTAATAAGGGCCCTGGCACTTGCTACTCTCAAGGATCCTGAGTTGGTGAGAACAGAATTCAAATCAGAGCTTGGCAGCTGGACCTCTGGAATCTACCCGGGTCTGAAGCTCATCTAGGTCACATGTGAGGCCTGCCTGAGTGGAAGGGCTCCCTCTTCTGGGAGTCTGGGCTTAGGGACTAGAACCTCTCAAGGGTCGGTGAGTCACACCTAGTCCTCTTGGCATCCCCAAGTCTTAACCTCACTCCTCTCAAGACAGGCACGGATGTTGGCCTCCCTTCACCCTCTCAGCTTGTCTTCAGACACAGGGGAGACAGTCTCCCTCCTCCTGTTCTCTCTTGGAGTTCTTGGGTTGGCTGCACAATGAGACAGAAACACATGTACATGGAAAATGTACACAAGGTGACACAGTCACCCACACAAACACATGGATCTGCCTACCAAACCCAGGAATACGCACAGGCACAGATGTACTGGCCTCACATATCTTCCCAGTGTGGGAGCGAGAGGATGCCTGGGCAGCAAAACGGTTTGGAAGATACTTACAAGAAGAGGCCACATGGCACTTCCCAGGCCTAGAGCTTCTATCTCTGGGTCTGGAGGGGAAGCAAGAGGGTGTGTTTTCCTCCAGGTTTGGGTGAAGTTTTGGGAGGGCTGTTGGGGGTTGAAGGAGCTTCAGTTGTTAAGAATGATCTCTAAATACTTTGGGTAGGGGCACTGACCCAGCATTAACCAGAGCCTCCCCACAGGAGCTGGGTGTCACTCCTGGAAGCCAGGCTGGGTAGATGGAAGTGAGTCCCTCCTTGGGTCCACTGGGCTGTTTGTGGAAAACATGGAGAACCAGTGGTGTGCACTAAGGACCCCTTTTTGCACCAAGAAGCCAGAGAGGCAGCAAGGGTAAGATATGTCATAGACACAGAGCCCCACTGCAGACATCACCACATGAAAGCACACAATCAGTATCAAACACCAATATACCCAGTCTCACAATTACAAAACACAACACAGCCCACTTTAACACATGCTTGTCCCAGGAGGTTCACAGTCACAAAGTCTTACAAACAGGCATACCACCATAAAGTGAAAACCTGACACATACTGGTAAGTCACATGGCATTTCACACAGAATCACACACCCAAAGCAGAGTTGCACACAGAACAGAGATACATGGTCAAAACAACTTCATTAGTACAATCTGGGTCCTACACAACCTCACTGAAACATCTGACAGGATCATACAATTGCACAATCACACGCAATCACACTAACTCAGGCTGTCACCAAGCCCAGGGCACATGGCAACCAGCTGTGGGAGGCGCACACACACACATATACACAGACACAGAATGACAGGCGCTCACGCACGTAACACCTCCCACTCTAGACCCCCTCCTAGCCTTGTGTCACGCATTCCCACACCTGCTGCCTCTGCCCACCTGCTCTCCCCTGAATCCCCATCCCCCGCGGGACCCAAGGTTTTGAACCTCAGTGTCCTGTTGCCCAGAACTGCTGGGACGGTGCCTGGTAATGGGTCAGAGTGTGGGTAAGGGCCTGGCAGGGATCAGAGGAGCTTAACGGTTAGGGGAGATGGAACCTACCCTCCTCCCCCCCGCGACCCCCAAGCCACCGACTCACCCGTGAGCTGGTCATAGGATCCGTCCAGGTCTCTTGAATCGGACAAACTCTCCTTACGGCTCTGGCCCCGCATGGCCCCCGGCGCCCCCCTCCCGTCCCCACCTGGGCCGTGGGAGGGGGCGCCGGGTGGCCGGGATAGGGAGCTCACACGGCGCCCCCTGGTGGCGCAGCGCGCTCTCGGGGGCTGGGGTACGGAGAGTCCGGGCTGGGGCGAGGAGCCAGGGGATCTCCAGTGTCCAGGGCCCACCTGGGGGTACTGGGACAGGAGCGGCAGGCTTGGGCAGTGGGTGAGCGCAGAGCCGGAGGCAGAGCGGAGAAGAGCGCGGAGCTGGAGCCGAGCCGCCTCTCCTCTCCTCCCGCCCCCTCCCCGCGGCTGTCACCGCCGCCTCCCCCCTTTGGCGCTGCCGGGATTGGCTCCCCCTACCCCCCTCCCCCTCCTCTTTGCAGCTCGGGGGAGGCACCCGGTGAAAGGGTGAACAGAGAAGTGCGGGGAAGGAGACCAGCTCTCTGGCAACACTACCCCCTAAACCTGAACCCCCGGGTCTTGGGGGTGGAGGAGGGTGCAGGGCCAGCAAGGCCCCACTGTGAGGATTCCCCGGCCGATTCTCAGCACTCCTGATCCTACCCTCAGCACTGGCCGGGGTATGTCTGTGCCAGCTCCCTGTCAGCCCGTTTTCTCTGTGGTTCTATGCCGATGTGTGAGTCTCAGTTGCCCCCACCATTGCCCTGCCCGCTTGAAGGGGGAATGGGGATGTAAAGGTCAACCAGCCTTTAAGGCAGGCTCATCTCAGGCCAATGGACTACAGTTTTCTCTCATAAGGACCCCTACCCTCACCCACTGCAAAACCCTGTCTCTGGGTCCTATTTGCTCTCAGGGTGCCTTCTTCCATGATCTAATGACCTCTGCTAACCAACTGGGAAGAAAAAGAAAATAAAGACTGAACCAGGTCAGTTTCTCAAGACTTTCTTGCTCTTTTGTTCCTTTTTTTCTCTTTCAACTTTCCTGCCCTGCTCTACTCCGTCACCTGCCCTGTCCTAGATTCCCTCTGATTTCCAGAGGATTTTGGAAATAATTAAGGGGTCTGGGGATGCAGGCAACGGTGAGGGGCAATGTCCTTGTTATGAGGCTCCTTCCCTTAGATTAGCTCCTTTTTCTGAAGCAAGGGTCAGGCATAGAGTTGGGCTATCTCCAGCTCCCAGTAATGGCGACTGAATGGCTGAGCCTACTTGTCAGATGTTCCCCACAATGCTTCCTGGGCTCCAACCCCATGAACCCCCCAAGTGCCATGAGAATTGGTGGGGGGCAATGTCTGATGTGTCTTCATGGTATGGTGGCAGTGTCCCAGGTAATCCTGCCTACCAATTGCTCCCCCAGAGGAGTAACCTGCTGAGACGGAAAGCTTCAGCTGAAGTGACCCCAGCACATTTAATCTTTTCAATTGGATTAATTTCCAAGCACTTGATTCAATTAACCCAGCAGGAATTGTGGTGAGAGTTCAGGCATGAGAAAGGGACAAGTAGCTGAAGGAAGGATTATTTTTGGGAGCAATGCCCTATTCCTGGCTTTCCCCTGACTCTGGAGGGTCTGCTACAGACCTGGTATAGACATGGGTGCATGGACAGGGCATGGGCAGCTCCTTTGGGGGTTAAATTCTAGGAAAAGATGGGACTCTTATGTGGAGTTCTGAGCATAGGCGTATTTAAATGGGCCAAGAGATGGGTCCTTAAAATGGAGGGCAAGAAGTGCTCTGTTTATTGCCCCACGCCCTGAACCTGCCTTTATTCACTTCACAGGGAAGCCTGAAAGGAATCCAGAAGCAGCCCAAATAGGCTGGTTAGCCTCCTTAACACCACACGTGGAGGTAGAGGGATTCCCTTCTTCCTTCCACTCAAAAGGCAAGGAAGGCTCCAACTTCTGAACTGAACTGGCTTCCCCTAAGACTAGGAGGCTGAGGAACAGAGCCTATAAGGGGTTCCCTAGCCAGATGAGACCAGCACCTGGGAGATTACCTTAACTCTGTCATTGAGGAAGGAGTTCTAAGTAACAGAGATTAAGGAGAAGTAGAAAAGACACTAGAAAGTCTGTCCCATACAAATCAATTTTTAATAACTTCAACTTGCCACCAGCTTCCAGCTCCTGCTCCTCTGAGGTTCATCAATGTGGAAAACCCTAAATGCCCCAGGCTGAACTATCCATCTAGTCATCAGAGATGACCCAGCCCTGATATCTTAAGAATCTACAATTATACGTGGCAGCATGATATGGATTCTCTGGAACTTGCTCAGTGTTGGAGCTGGAACTATGGTTCCCAGGAAGGGCAAGTATCCCAAAGACACCTGAAGTGGAAGAGTAGCCTGGGAGGTCCCAGACCTGCTCTGCCGGCTGGATTCTGGCATTTACTTCCAGATTCTTCCTATGCTGCTTGCTCCCTGCCATCCTGAAGGCTTTAAAAAGTGCTTTAGAAAGGGAGGGGCTCAGAGGAGCAGCTACTTCAAAGGCAGCTGTGGGGCAGGGAAAGCCTACAGCAGTAGTTCCATGGAGGCTGTCCAGAGGCGGAAACACAGGCCAACTTCCCAAAGGTCGGCCTTTCCATGATGCTCACCTGGCTTGTTCCAGAGCCTGGCCCTGGCAAGCTCTCTCCCTTGCAGGCACCAGACCACCACAGGAACAGATTCCTCCCCAGAGGAAATTCTCAGGCAGGCTGGATGTAAACAACAGCCGGGTGAGGGGGTGGAACACGTGGAGGGGAGCTCAGTAGAGGCAAGAGAGGCTCCCAGAGGAGGGGGTGGCTAAGGAGGTGGGGAAGCTGCTGGAAAGGGAACCAGCAAAGTAGGCACCTGAGGGCTTCAGAAAACCTGTCAATGTTTATTTCACACACATACCCTAAAGACAGTTTAAACCAGATTGAAAATGAAAAGCTAAGATTGTGACCCTGTGGTGCTGAAGAGTCAATGGGCTGGAAGGCAGGGGAACACTCACAGGTACTCCTGGTGCCAAGAATCAAATGCAGAAAGTGGTGGTCAGACAGCAGAGGAGTCAGCTCTGGATTCAGAAAATAGAAAGAAGGTACCCCATAACTACCCCACCCAAGGCCTGAGCTAAGGGTCCTAATGACTGGACAAAGTGCCGGTGGGGGCATGGGACACAGATTTCAGGGCCGGCTCAGCCCCGGGCTCAAAGCAGAACTGGCTCCACCTACATCTGAGAGTTAGTCTGTTTTCAGAAGCCTAGGTGAGCCACTGACCCCATGGATGTGGGCATCACCCTGAGGTTTGCCCAATAGCTCCTGACAATTAGTAGCCATAACTTATAATCTCAATTGGAAATATGAAGGGTTGTCCAGAAAGCCCACCCCCAGAAATCCCCACATTTCTGAAGGTGTCTCCCTGTGCCCACCCATTCCTTCCCCAAATAAGATTATCCCTGGCTTGCCCATCCTGGCCCCTGCTGTCCAAGCTCCAGTGAAGTGCGGCCTCCACTGAGAGAACTTGGTGTCTGTGTTTTTCTCCAACCTTGGGAACAGGCCCTCGCCCCTGGCCCGCCCTCCAGCCCAGAAGCCTCGTGGGTAAGGGCAGTCAGTGGCTGCTCAGGTATGCGTGGCAGCTTCAGGAGATAGTGGAGAATTCCTTGAGCAGGACTTCCTGGCTGAGTGTGTGGAAGGCCAGGTTCCTCCGGACGTTGGTGCTAATGGATCGAACCTGGGAAAAGGTGAGGGGAGGTGGAAGGGCACAGGCAGAGAAAAAACAGGAGAAAGTCCATTACAAACAGTAGAGGGCAGTGCCTGAAGCACAAGGCCAAGATGCAGTGCTAGAAATTTCTCTCAGGAAATGAACTCTTAGCATCTATCATCCCTGCAGGTAAGTGAGTGAACAGTTCTGTGATGGCAGGAAGAAAAGAGAGGCTGAGAGAAAGAATTCGAGTGGCTGTGAGAAGAACATCTGAGCATCTGATGAGGCAGAGACAAGCAGAGGCAGCGAAGGAGCGCCGAGGTCAGGCCTCTGGCCTTGCCTTGGCCAGGCTGAGGGGGACTGGTCCAGTCAGTGGTCTAGTGGAGGAGGAGAAACTGAAGCCAGAGAACTCCTGCTCTGGAGCTCCCTCTCTGTGGGCGTTTTTTTGCTCTTCTCAACCTCCTTCTGTATTTATCTACTTTTCTGGTTGGAAAGGACATTTGGAGATACAGCCCTTGTCTGGCACGGATGGCAGGAGTACAACCCAAAGAGGCCAACAGCCAGCAAGTCCCAGCTGTGGGAGGAGGACCTAGTTTCTCAGCTCCTGGGCCAGCACTCTCCATACCCCAAAGTGCCTGCCTGCTTTAGAGGAAAGTCTGGTTGTATTCTCACAACGTTCCCTCCACTGATGGCTTTCTACCCCGAGACTGAGAACCTTGCAGGAAGTCCTGTCTGTGTCAGCAGGGGAAAGGGGTTAGAGGGCCGAACTCCCTGCTCTGAGTGGGTTCTAAGAGTAACCAGCAGATGGATTCATTCATTGGAAACAGATGTGAACACTGACCTAGAGACAAAGCGGGGGAGGAAGGGGACAAAGAACGTGTATCTGTCTTAGGCCCCAAAGCCCAGGAAGCTTTTCTTCCGTCTCTGCTGTGCTATGGGAAACATAATGAAGTCATCAGGCAGTAAGCAGAGGAAAGGCCAGCATGGCAAAGAGCAGGCAGCCCAAGTTCATTAGCTCCAAACCTAACCAGACCCTCTGAGCTCCCCTATGCCAGTGGTACAGCTATGCGGAGACACAAGTAAGGTGCAGACTAGTGCCTCAAAGCCTCAAGACAGCTTTTGATGTTTCTCCTCCTCAGTCCTCTTCATCTCCTAGTAACTTAATCTCTTAAGACCTGACCCCTAGATCAACTTGAATATTTGCCGACCGCCCCATAAAAGTACTATATTCTGTTATCTCCTTACCCTAGTGGCTTCCCTGCTGCCCGCTATCTCAGCTCAGAGTATATATGCCTCACCCTGGGGAAGGCCCAAATCCCAGGAATGGCATGTCAGGGTCAGAGCTGGGCTGGGTTTAGCACAAGACAGATGACCTAAAGCTAGCACCTTCATCACAGACTAGGCATGGGTAAGTAAAAAGCTGGGCTGATGCAAATTCTTCCCTGGCAGTGGGAGGTCTGAGGACATGGGAAGTGGGTACAGAGGCCTGTGTGCCCCGGTCTCAGACCCCAGACCAGAGTATACAGGGAGACTGGGCTTTCCCTGAGGGCAATTTCCAAGCGCAGGGCAGGAAAAGGGACCACTAATAGGGTGGTCCAGTTCTGTGGAGATGTCAACTGGGAGGTGGAGGAGGAGACAGAACAAGCGTTCACTGGCTTCAGATGGCCAAGGGAGGGGCTGCAGAAAGCTGAGTGATTGGAAAGTGGGAATGAGGGTAGGGAGTAAAGACTGGAGATCTAGATTGGAAGGGCACTCAGACCAGGACCCAGTTAGGAATTTAGGAAAGTGGTTACGTAAGGAGGAGAAGAATCAATTACTCTCATTAGTTGTTCTGAGGATAGGATAAGGAGTAATGAGCCAGAGCTGCCACTGGGAATGCACATCAAACTCCAGGCCTAGCTGAAGCTGCACAGAGCTATCTCCATGGCTGCAGAGGAGAGGTGGGCACTGCTGCCTCAGGCTTCTCACCCTTCCCGGCCTGGCACAAATACTCTGGTGAGTATCTTTGTCTCTTACCATCTGGTCCTTCCTGGACTGCTGTGGGACAGAAGTAGCAAACCCAATTCAATCAGGCCCCTCCAATCTTATTTCATCAGCCTGTACCCACCTGTAGAGTAGAACCCAGTGGCGGGGAAGGGCCGTCCACAAACATAGGCAGAGACAGAGGCAAGGCTCACTCACCAGCTCTTTGAAGAAGGCGGCTTCCTTGTGCTGCTCCGAGTAGCGCTCGTACTGGTCCAGGCCATCCTGCAGCTTCAGTGTGAGTGTGTCATAGTTGGCTCGCACTACCTCTAGCACCTGGGGACGTCAAGAATCAGCGGGGCTGAGGCCAAACAAACCCTAGGTCACTTGGCCCCCACACCTCTCCTGCTGCTCTACTGGGCTGGATTCAGTATGGGACAACACACCCAAGAGACTGTGTCACTATTTGTCACTACTTATTACTGAAAAAAGGCTGGCCATGGCAATTCCTCAGGTTTCTGGAACCACTTTTTAAAAAAAATTTGTATTGAAATATAGTTGATTTACAATGGTGTGTCAGTTTCAGGTGTACAGCAAAGTGAATCAGTTACACATACACATAAAATATACAGGGAATTTCCCAGTGGTCCAGTGTTTAGAATTCCACGCTTTCACTGTGAGGGGTATGGGTTCAATCCCTAATGGGGAATTAAGATCCTACAAGCCATGTGGCATGGCCAAAATACATACATACATACATATATCTATGTGTGTGTGTATATTTTTTTTTACATTCTCTTGCATTATGGGTACTGTAAGATACTAAGTAGAGTTCCCTAGCTGTACAGTAGCTGGGACCACTTTCTAATTTCTTCCATCCCCTACGTTTCGTGACCAGTCCAGCCTGGTTTTCAGGGCCGTTTACTGTGGGTATGGTAAAGGAGATGAGAAAAGGGGACAGAACAGTGTCTGAGCCCCTCAGTATCCCTGACACCACAGACGCATTCTCAGCTGTATCGCGCAGCTTTCTCTGGCCAGGCTGTCACAGTTGCTGAGTAAGACTTTGCCAATATCTTTCCTTTTCCCTTTCTGGGAACCACATTTCTTTAGTCCCGGGATGTTCCTCAGTACGATCTGCCACTTGTTTTCATCTCTCAGTGCCAACTCAGTCTTCTTATCCATTGCCTGGATGGAACTTTTGAGCATCCCAGCATTGGAGTGTAAGAGACATTTCTAGACTAAGCTAGAGTTTATCTCATCCTCTTCTATTCTGAGGAGGGGTCCCTCCCTACTATGTCTCTGTGGTGGACTCGGACTTCCGCTAACTCCAGGAACCTTGGATCTCTGTGGTTCCAGAAGGAAAGGATTACCAAAGCCAGTTCTGATATAAGTGTGGCTTATTAGACCATGAATCAAAGGCAAGGACAGTTAGTTAGATCACAAATATTCAGAGGTGACCGAGCCCAGGCTCCCGCTACTCCCTGTAACAAAAACTATTTTGGATATATCATGTCCATTATTAGCAAGATCAGATTAGTATTTAGAGTGTAATACTACCTTGCCAGCTTGAAGATAATTATATTTGGGTTATACAATGATTAGTTGCATCAGAAGATGTAGATCTTCTCCATTAACTTAAAAGAAGTGAGCTAGGTAGAAAGGAGAGACCAGGAGAGTGACTAAATTTTCACTCTGACAATCTGGCCAACAGCTGTTCTGCAATTTGGTCTGACCTGGGAGGGAAGTGTATGATGTCATGGAGAGCTCCCAGCTCAGCCAGGAGTCTTGCGAGGAATAAGTATGATAAGGGAGGCTGAGCTCTAACAGAAGGCAGGGCTGAAGGGAGTAACCTAGAGTCAAGACTGATCAGAGGGGTTGAGAATGCATTCCTGAGGGGTACAAAGGTGCCTCTGGGCTGTTCCCTTCATCAATTCAGTCTTATTTCAGGGCAGACTGCACCTGGTGGCAAATATATCTGCCTGCCAAGAATTCCTGAGGAGAGGGTAGGGATGGAGAATAAAGACTTGTGTTCCTGAGTTTGGGAAGGACAATCATGTCAAAGCTCTGGTCCAGACTCGGGCTCTTTTCCTCCAGACATCCCAGTCTTCAAGGTCACTTTGCCAAACTATGTCCCACAGACTCTAGTAGAGACTGGTTTCTTCGCTTCTATTTGTTAGTTCTGTTGGCAGGAGGACCACAACTGAGCGATGCTAGTCACCCAAGAAGTCAGCTGGCTCTCTCACACATGACAGGTGTGCTCATGGCTGAAACTTCTATAGCCAAGGTCTTCTCTTGGAAGTAGAGGACTCCAGCCCACAAAAAGGCAAAGTTCCAAAAAAAGGTAAGATGGAATCAGCCCCCAGGAATCAGGCAGAATAAAATAATACCTGCTTTTCTAATCCCTGAACTCCGGGCAGTTTCAGCAATAGCTATGACCCAGTAACCTGGACTCAGCCTTTACTAAGGGGAGTCAGGTACCAAAGGACAAATACCATGCTGAAGCCAACTTCTGAGAAGAAGAAAGAGCATGTCAAGAGATGCTATGTCCTGAGAGCCTCAGGCAAGGCCACCTTGATCATTTTTTTTTTTTGCCAGGGCAGAGTGGAAGGTATAAGATATCACTCAGCACAGGGATTTTTCCTTTCCCAATAAAGCTGGCTTTTGCTGGAACAGCTTAGTTCAGTTTCTTACATGGAGTGAAAGCAGAAATGGCCCCTGAGCTATCAGCTCCTTGGAAGGAAACCAGAGGCCTGGCTGGACTTACAGCATGATCTCAGCTCTCCCCTTGTCCAGACACTGCCTAGGGTCACCTTCTCCTTCCCTGGCCCTTTCTTGTGTTCACCTAACTCCTGTTATTTCCTGTCCATATCACTTCTCTTAAACTTTCAAGAGAAGAAAACATTCTAAACTCAGGTCTGGGTCCCAGCCCTTTTGAACTCCAGAGCACTAGCAACTCACTCCTAGTCTGGGACGTTCCTTTCTGTAACTACGGACTTTAGGAACATGTCCCATTTGGGCCTCACCCTCAACACTGGCCTGAGATGTGGTGAAGGCGGTAGTTACACAGAGAACACTTTACCAGAGCCCTTGTGCCTAAAGGCCTTAGGCTTTATCATAATTTGCCGTCTCAATTTCTGGCTTCCTGGCAACTTCAAAGGCCCTTCCTAGATGGACATTTCTCCCTAATCCATCAGGTATAGTATATACCCTAACAGAGCCACCTTTGTTTACCAGTTGTTGGGCTTGTGAGGTTCCCAGAACCTTGTCCACCTCAGTTCAATGTAGCTCTAAAGGCAGTAAGTCACCTATCAGCCACATGCTCTCTAAGGAGTCCTTATTCCCCCACCTGTGATGCTTAGTCCATGGGAACCTGGGTCCTGGCAAAAAGGTCTGATAGAAAACTGAATTGGGAGTTTCACTCTTACTGTTGAATCTCAGACAATTACCTAACCTTTTTGAGGTGGAACTTCAAGAGGGGTTCTCTCTGAAAGGTGGAAGTTGAACTCCCTTTCTAAACATTACATGGGAATAAAAGTTCTGAGTTCCTGAAAATAACATACAACTGATGGAAACATTATCGTCCCAATGGCTATACAGCAACCTAGATAGTTCCTGGACTGTCTTCAGAGCCCAGGAAGTGCCTACTCCTATTTCAAACTGTCCCAAAGATCTTATGTGCATAAATGACTCTTCACCACGAAGGAACATCTTCTGGATTTAAGTGGAAGGCACAAATGACCTCAGTTTCAAAGATCTCATTAGATATCTTGAAACACTCTGCCTCAGGTGAGGGAAGAATAAATTAGTGAGGGAGAGGACCTAAACTCCTTCCCTGAGGTCTCTGGAGGAGACATAGGCTTTGAGGTTAGGAAGACCTGAATTTTACTCCTAGATCAACCACAGGTAGCTCTGTAAACTTATACACACTACTTAATCTCTGAGCCTCAGTTTTCTTATTTGTAAAAGGATAACACTCTTCCTCATAGAGCTGATGTGAGGATGAAATGAGATAAGACTGTCCAATGCCTGGCACATTAATAACAAGCAATGAAAGGTTACTAATTTTATGATGAAAGCCTCCTCTGGTGACAACAGGCCATTTGGTAGTTCTGCTTATCCCCAGGTAGTTCTAACCATAAACCAGGAGCTGGGGCCTTACACATCTCCATTAGCTTGTGGCACATACTGGTGAAGAGTACTCTCTATACAATACAAAAGCAGGCTTCCCATAATGACCCCATGTCCTGAGTGTAACTGACAATGCATCAACCAGAAGTCAGAGAATGGCCAGTACCCACTGCCAACCTTAGTAATCTTAGTAGTTCAGGCAGATACAGGTTATACTAAAGAAAAGCTGAGCAGAGGCCTGGCCTTGCATGATACAAGTTGGGAGGCTCTTGGCCACATCAGGGAGCAACAAGATCCCAGAGCAAAAATTTAGTTCAAAATTGTTGATGAGGTTTCAGGCACGCACATACACACACACACACACACACACACACACACAAACACCCTCTTCCTCTAGCACACATAATAGGCATTCCCAAAAGACTATTCAGTACCCTGTGCCCCACCTTTATATTTTTTAGCAAGACCTTTGAAATGGGAAATAAGTCTTGCCTGAAGATAGCAGCAAAGGAGGATTGCCAAGCTAGAAAAGTTCCTGGCAATGGCTATCTAGTCTTGATGTAAGAGGGCTTTACCCTGTGCCTGAAAAACTGCCTGGTCTCTGCTGGGACAGTTTGAAATAGGAGTAGGTACTTCCTGGGCTCTGAAGACAGTCCAGAGATTCAGTCCAAATCTCCGCTGGACTGAATTCCTGGGAGAATGAGAATGAGGGGACAACTAAGTAACAGGATGTGACCTGACAGCAAATCTGCGTTCATTATCTTCTCCTCAGTTTGAAACGACATCTAAAGTATATAACCTATTTGGGGAAAGTACAGAAGTCTGACACTAGCCCACTCTAGCCAGGGCAACATGTATGGCCTTCCTTAGAGACCAGGCTGCCAAATGAGGATGAAACCACAAGATATCAGTAGAGAAACCTACTGAGAAGTCTTATAGAATAGGAAATAAACATGGAACCTATCAAGACTGCAGTGGGGTGTAACAGAAAGAGGCTACGGTATCAGCAAAGTCTGGGTTCAAATCTTGACACCCTAATTTATTAGTTAGTTATGTAACCTTGACCTGTCTGAGCTTTAGTTTCTTTGTCTGTAAAATAGTTACCATTATAATATTTTCTTACAATACTATGAAGATAAGTGATAATATATAAATAAACATTAATATCTAAGTGATAGGATCTAGCAAGGGTGCTAAATGAATGAAGG